AATATTTATTTTACTCATTAAGACAATATAGATATCCAGTATAAATAAATGTTTAAAATGTAGTTTTTATTTTACAGGAAATTAATTAAATAAATTTATTAATGGAGTACTGTATGCTTATAAATTTTATAAATATTGTATTATATTATGACATAATGATAATCATTATGTTTCCAGTATATTTCTAAACTAATGACAATAAATACAATTTTTATAAACTTTTGACAATTAATATGAATTATGATACTGTGTTAATATTTATAATAATCATCACTAATACTAATGGTTTGGATTACGAGACAAATAGTCATCAATACACCGATGAATACCATTCAGATTACAGTCCAAACAACTACGAGAACCAGATTACGAGATTAGTGTCGGCGCTCAGGCACCGGGACCGGCATATCCGACGACTTGAACAACACATCCAACGATTGCAAAGTCACCACAACTCCGTAGATGACTATGACTTGGATGACAGCCTACGTCTGGTGTCAAACTACGCGAATAAAGACACTAAAAGCGTGTATCCGCACGACTCCGACAAACCCATGTCCGACCCCGAGATGATGGACGGAGTGATACCTAAGATAAACGCCAGGATGAAGGACCTGAACTGTATGTCTTCGTGCAATCACCTTAAGAATGCCAAACAGTCTAAGGATGCGTTGAGTCAATACATGTATCTAATGATCTGCGCGGAGGGCTGTAAGAAGACTATCCCCTGTCTTGAGGACAACTACTGTATGCCTGTCATGAAGGAAAACCCTGATTATTTTGTTCAATGCGTTAATAGTTGTAAGTATTTGTCATTAAAATAGTTGTATCAATATTAATATCAATATAATTAGTTGTAAAATATCAATATTAGTGGTCATAGTATTGTCAATTAATTTATTTAGTGTTATATTTAGATAGCAATTAAAAATCATTATGAATATGAATTGAATTTGTAATTATTTTATATTTTGTTTACATTTGAGGTGAACTTTTTAAGATTGCACCGAAAGTTTTCAAGTCAGCAAAGTGCTAACCATGGTCAACTCGATAATTATTGTACATTTTAGACTTTAATAATAATTTAATTAAATAGTAATAATAATTTAATAGTAATTTTTTGCTTTTAGATTTATCGTATATATTATAACACTGTTATTTTACTAGGATTTAATTTTACACAAACACCTAGTTGTAAAGCCTATCAGATATATAGGTCTACCAGAATATTCTGTGTTAAATAACTTTAAACTTGGCTGGCTAAATAAAATGCACATTAAAAAGGGCGTACATTACCATAGGTTCACATTATAGATAAAACATTATTGCACTCATAGGCAACAGTACATGACGTTTTCGGTACCTTTTCACACACATATCCTATAGAGTTATAGTGACAAAGCATTGCCATCATAAACCGGTATTAATTATCAGTGTTTTGCTATGAATACACGAAAATGTGGTGAAAATCATTGCAATAATTATTACAGAAATCAATAACTTTTTAATTTATATCAACCACTCATTCGTGAATCCATTATCACATCCACTCCACACCCGAAGACATCCACTCATTCCTCCCATAAAGTCGTAAACCATTAGATGTGATGCCATTGGAGACCAATGTGTTCATCGGCANGTAAACCATTAGATGTGATGCCATTGGAGACCAATGTGTTCATCGGCACCGGTATTGCCTTCGGACTACTGGTCGTCGCGTTCAACTCAGCCATCCATAAGATCGAAGAGGGTTTGCATACCATTCCTCTGCCCGTGCCTACCCTTCCCCTATCGGCCACCCATTCACCCATACCTTACTGTCACCCAATTTGCGGTACTAATGACGTGTTGTCGCACTGGTAGGTCATGTGGGTGTGTACTACAGAGGCGGTGCCCTATTGGACACGACATCGATGCCGGGCTTTCATATGATGTTTCCGGTGCTGACGACCTACCGGTCCATTCAGGTGACCCTCCAGACCGATGAGGTGAAGAACGTGCCGTGCGGTACATCCGGTGGTGTTATGATATACTTCGACCGCATAGAAGTGGTCAACATTTTGAACTCACACGCCGTGTATGACATCTATATTCACTATCTCTTTGTCTCCCATGTCTTAAGCTATCACTCGTCAACTCACTGATCATTGGCCGCTAATTGCGCCAAACGGTGCAAGTCTTGAGATCTTTTTATTTGTCGTGTAATGTTGGCATCAGTTGTCTTATAGGGAATCACAGTCTACTGTATTATGGTTTAGAAGTGCATGGCTTGAAATGATGGCCAATATATCTGATATCATAGTTTACTATCAGTTTTGTAGTGTCCAGTGATTTATCAGTTTTGTAGTGTCAGTGCTTTATTTGTTATTGGTGTCAGGTTATCATGACATATACGGCAATAATTTTAAGCTATTCAAGTTCCCCTCATAAAAATGCAAAACTTAACTTGTTTATTTAATTAGACATGAATCAATATATTTTTAGATAGCTCTACGGTACTTATTTGAATATTAGTTGCATACAAATTATTAATTTATTTTAACATTTCATACAAAAGTTATGTTTGTTTGATTGGATTATTGATTTTTATGACTATTTATTGAATATTTGAAAAAACAATTATTAAACAAATATTTTCTACTTTCAGTGATTAGTTCATGTGTTGCCTCACAAAAGATTTCTATGAATTCTTAACACACAAAAAATCAATACTTTTGTGAATATGTTTTGATGTGTTTTTGCTATTTGTTGAGCGCAGGTATGACATCGTGAGGAACTACACCGCAGATTACGATAAGGCACTCATATTCAATAAAGTACACCACGAGTTGAACCAGTTTTGCTCAATTCATTCACTGCAAGAGGTTTACATCGATTTGTTCGACCAAATCGATGAGAACCTCAAGATTGCCCTCCAGAAAGACTTGGATCAGTTCGCTCCGGGACTCATCGTACAGGCCGTTAGGGTCACCAAACCTAAGATACCGGAGACTATCCGTAGAAACTATGAACTCATGGAAGGTATGCCTTAATTGAAAACCATTTTAAAACTAAATGCATGACAACAATAATAACTGAATAATTAAGTCTTAAATCGTGTTAAGACTTATGAATGATATGATTATTGTTTACAAAATATGATCGAAATTATATGGATTTAGATATTATATAAATTCTCAGACTTAGGAATTTGAGCAAGGGAGTACAATCTATTATTTCTAACCTCCCATTACTTTTTGCACTCATATAAGCTTAGTTTTGCGTATATTTTACGAAATTTTAAGTAACATTAAGACTCCAATCGTGTTAAGGCTTACGAATGATATGATTATTGTTTACAAAACTTAATTGAAATTATATGGATTTAGAGATTTTATGCATTCTTATGCATTGTACAGTATGTATTGTCTGACCTCCCAGTCCTATACATTTGTACTTCTGTATATGCCTTACCGTATATTGTTTTGCGTATATTTATTGAAATTTTAAGTAACATATCCTTAATGACGAACGAATGCATAGAAATATTTACAGAATTTTATTAAGAATTTGCTTTTAGTTACCATACAATACAAGTTGCTTACGTTAGATATAGTGTGACTCATAAGCACTTATAGGCAAAGTTTTCCACAAGAAATATACACAACTATAACACTAATAGAGATTACATATTATATAACAGTAATATAACAATATTTTCATAATTGCATCAAAAGTGAAATTCATTAGTGAAATATGCAATATTTGCATTCAATGTGTTATCATTGACGGCAAATTGAATACTAATGCCGTAACACATACTGAATAATGGATTGCTTTGTGGGGCACCGGTAGGCGAGAAGACAAAGCTG